CCAGTGAATCTCCAGTGATGCTGCTTTCAACGCGACAGGATGCAGCCCTTTGAAGGAGAGCAGGCTGTCGGGTACTGAGATAACCCGGGTGGATTCCGGGAGACTACAGGAAGGAGAGTTTATTGTGGGCCAGGGGTGGAAGCTGGACACGTGTTTGGGGGGTCACAAGGACGCTGACGTGTCTAACTAGGTGAGCCAAGCTTTGTGTCCACGCTCCAAGCTGGCAAGTTCATTTGCAAGATTTTTTTTAAAGGAGAAATTAAATCCGTTTTTTTCCCCTCTTTCTTGTCAGTTCTTTGTGTTCCAATTTCCCGCTTTGTCGATACCCTCTTTCTGGCTCCTATTGTTGTGAAATACTGTCAGTCATCAGCAAATTGGCCCAATCTTTGATGGAGAAATTAGGACAACGGTGAAAACAGTTGAAATCAGAAGACGTATATTTCACACCTGGTGAAATGTGACATTTTCATGTTAAAACTATCTAAACCACTTTTAGGGCGCATTGGGGTGGGGGGGGGGGGGGGGCCGTGAGCCTGAGGTCTTAAGCTCACGTAGTCAGTGCAGTCGTCCCCAACCGAACAGGTTAGGACTACAGTGAAACCTCTCAACACGAACTTAGGACAGAACGTTCGTTTAACGCGAACACAATGTTGATCTGAGCACGGATGTATTATTTCTTATCCACTGCCGTCTTAACGCACCGGCCCAATGAGGCACTTGCCAGCAGGCGGAGGGGAGGGAGGGGGATCTCAAGAGCACTAGTGGCCCCATGCTACTCTGTGTATATCGAGTGATGTGCCACACACACACACACACACACACACACACATGTCATTCCTGTCAGTGGTTGTCGTAGGGGCGCCAGCACACTGTTTTGCCCAGACGCCCCTTATGTTGTTAAGACACCTCGGTATTTCCCCATGAATGTTAATGAGGTTTTGCTGTATTATTTCATTTTCCCACATACGGTGACCATATGTCCCGTTTCCTAGGTTTGTCCTTGACCATTCCGTAGTTTCGCTTTTAAAAACATCGCAATAAGCGCGAGAATGCAGCATACACCTACAGATACAACTGGGAACTATATTCGATGTTATCTGTTTAGATACTATTAATTTCTGAAATGCGTTGATGGGAATTTTCTTTCAGGCATGTTTGTTCGCCAGTGTAGTTGAGAAGCATACTGTTTCGTGGATTTCTTAGCGACAATGGTTCTAGTTTTAATAGTTTCGTTGCCGAGCCAGCAATTAACCCTTTCACCCGGGTGACCAAGAAGAAACAAACGACGGAAGGGTGAGAGTCCAGTTTTCAGCTCAAAAATTTTAGTGGAATATCCTGCTTTCAGCTCAAGATATCAATGGGATGTCTTGTTTTCAGCTCTGGACCCTGTGGTCAATCTTCCCCTGGAACCCTTACTCTGGATCGAAGCCGGGTCCTCCTGTATGCGAGCCTAGATCTGCAACCACTCCTTCATCCTTCTATTCTCTTTATTTTTAGATGCGCTGAACCACCCCGTCTCTAGATTTTCGGAAATGTAAATAGAAAGCAAAGTGGTTTTTTTCTTCCCTTTCTTCCGGATACCCTCTTTCCGGCCCCTATTGTTGTGAAATACTGTCAGTCATCGCTTAGGTAAAAATCGGAGGTCCATTCTTCAGTTCACTCTCCAAAAAACTAGACACGTTTTGTTCGCCCACGTTTTACATTGACCCGAAGAGCGCTTTGGCCCATCTAGAGACGGTCGCGCCGGAATCAACACAGGGAGAAATTATTGTGCAAGATTACACCAGGCAATCTAAGAACGACTCGAACTTACGACTTCCGGGCCTATGCCACCTCATCATCACCGTCATATTGTACCGTTATAAGCAGGCCCGGATTTAGACCTGATAAGGCCCTAAGCTGTATAAAGCCCTGAGGCCCCATACGTTTCAAATTACACCAGCGAATCTCAGAAACCTTTAAAAATGTTGCGCCTTTTACATATATGGGTAACTAACGGAACTACTTTACATTTCAGTAACAGAAATAATTTACAAGTGTTTGCAAAATCCCAGAAACTGTACAATCCCCCAAAAGGCTCTAGTGAAAGACATTTGCATTACCAATATTTTCACAGAAAACAATTGTGGGGAGGGGCAAGGGATGGGGGTTGGAGTTTGTTAAGGTTCCTGCAGACTGTGAAGTCCTAAGCTGTAGTTTGTTTATCTTATCCCAAATCCAGCACCGGTTATACGTCGCCTACGAACCGCGGTCCATTCCTCCATTCCGTTCTCCACTATGCAATCCTTGTGATATCACATATGGAATCTAATCCAGCGCCTCTGGTCGTTCTCAGCAACGTCAGTCTTCAGGTTTCTCTTGGGGCGATTACCTTTCCTCAATGCACTTGTTTCCTACTGCAGTGCCTTTTTTGCGATTCTCTGAGTAGTACTTCTGCTGGTAGTGTGCCAACTTTTTGTTGTCCATTCTAAACGCACTATCAGCTGTAGATTTCTTGTGGAATGTTGTGCCCGCGGTATGTTGTTGACTGCACTAACATGGCGGGTGGCCGATTACATTTCAAAACGGCGTATACTTCTGTGGGCGCAAGAAATGGTGGTTTTGATGATGACCGTTTGTTTTAACAGTGAAATGCAATTCTGGTATGGGGCCATTAGTGTTGGCACATCTGATGGTTGCCTTGCACATTTTTATTTGCGTGTGCAAACTTCAAGATTTTGCGGTGCCTGACAAGCTTTTTTTTTTTTAAAAAAAAAAGAATAAACGACATACTGTGTGATTTCTACCGGCATAAAAGTGGGGCAGTTATAGAGCAACTCGCCGGCACTGATGTTGGTACCTCGACTACTAACGACTTAATATTCTAGACATACTCTGCTGAAAGTTTTGCTTAAATGTCGGAGGTCTGTTGGGCCTAAAAAGGTTAGTTGCGTATCCTTTACAGGACGTTGCAGAACCAACCCCAGCAGCCCCTGGCTGTTGTGTGGTTTCTCTAGGCAAATTTAAGTCCAGTAGTTTCTGTTGGGCCTAGTGATATTAATTGTTGATCTGGAAGGAAGCTTTGACGCGAGCCTCGTGCACAATGGAGCACTGTAATAACATTGTTCTTATGTGAATTGGCTAAATCTTTCACCTACTGCTCTGCAACCAGGGTAAAGTATGCCATCTTGCCCTTTTGTTGCTGACTGTTTTTTTTTTTTTTTTTAAATACGACATTCTGATTCAGAAGCTGTCAAGCTTCCAAGCAATCCTGTCGTACTCAACCCCCTCTCCCCGTAAAAATGATGTTTAAAAAATGTCTATCCATCAAACTCTGACCTCAGCCAATGAGGAAACAGCAGTTGTTAGACTCAAATCTAATCAAGCGCACCCACGTCACGCCCTCGGTTTGACGAAGAGCGTGCTAGGCGTGAGACTGTCCTTAAAACAGCTCTCGGGCGCTGCCCTGGGGAGCCAGCGACACGTGAAGTCCTCTGCCGTGGCAGGAACGAGACAGGCTGGTGTCGGTGAAAGGCTAGGGCGGGGACATTGTGCCTGTTTGGCTACAACGATTGAATGTTGCAAACGGGATTCTTTATCCCTACTGTTCCCTTTTTTATTTTTTAAAGGCGGGGTGTATCGGGTATCCATTAATGACGCAACTGAAAGCACAAATGATATTATCTGCCGCCCCCCCCCCCTCTTCCCCCCCCCAAATCGTAAATCCTTTGGCTGAGCGGAAGTCACGCGCCTGCCGCCATTTTACAATGTGTAGGGATTTATTTGTCGGCTCTGTGGCTAAGTCGATGCGAACGCTTCGCTTCGTAATGCCGTGATGCCAGGTTCGACCCCAGCTGCGGGAAATGCGCCTTGCGTTGGTTTCGGCAGTGGTATCAAGAAAGCCGACCGTCCAGGAAGCAATGGCAAACTACTGGATGTAAATTGCCTAGAGAAACCACACAACAGCCAGGGGCTGTTAGGGTTGGTTCTGCAACGTCCTGTAAAGGATTCGCAACTAACTTAAGGATTCCTTTCAGTGGCGGCGGCACATCGCACGGATCTTTATTTTGTGTAGGTTGACCCAGCCTTCTTCTTCTTTACCTTGTCAAGTAATGGGAAGTAAAGGCAGCCGATGTGATCTTGACCACATTATTCATCAAGTGTTGACTGGTCTCTAGGTCTAGCCCTATACGCCCCGTACGTTTCAATGTGTGAAATAGAGACCTTTACTTTTTTTTTAACAATCTGACTATGGAGTTGGACAAAGGAAAGATGCACATTAAAAAAAAAGCGGCAAAGAAACAATAAAATGAATTAATAAATGAATGAGAGACTGAATGAACGAACAAATTATTGAATAGCATAAAATTAACTTGAAAGCTAGGCGAGAAGATAGGAACAGAAAACACGCGGACGCTTCGGTTACCAGAAACACAAATTAAATACTAGTTGGTTGCATAACCTTTCTGGGTTTCGCAAATCAACTAAAGCAAACCACGGACAGGGCCCTTTTATTTTTTAATTAATATTATTTCAGAATCATTTATGTACAAAGGGTAGGTCACCTACATAGAACAGCCCTACCTAGAACAGACCTACCTAGAACAGACCTACCTAGAACAGACCTACCTAGAACAGACCTACCTAGAAGAGACCTACCTAGAACAGCCCTACACAGAACAGACCTACCTAGAACAAACCTACCTAGAACAGACCTACCTACAACAAGCCCTACCCAGAGCAGACCTACCCAGAACAGACCTACATAGAACAGACCTACCCAGAACAGACCTACCCAGAACAGACCTACATAGAACAGAACTACCCAGAACAGACCTACCCAGAACAGACCTACATAGAACAGACCTACATAGCACAGACCTGCACAGAACAAACCTACCTAGAACAGACCTACATAGAACAGACTTACACAGGACAAACCTACCTAGAACAGACCCACATAGAACATAACCTACATAGAACAGACCTACATAGAACAGACCTACACAGAACAAACCTACATGGAACAGACCTACACAGTACAGACATACATAGAACAGACCTACCTAGAACAGACCTACACAGAACAGACCTACACAGAACAGACCTACACAGAACAGACCTACACAGAACAGACCTACCTAGAACAGACCTACCTAGAACAGACCTACCCAGAACAGACCTACCCAGAACAGACCTACCCAGAACATACCTACTTAGAACAGACCTACCCAGAACAGACCTACCCAGAACAGACCTACACAGAAAAGACCTACCCAGAACAGACCTACCTAGAACAGACCTACACAGAACAGACCAACACAGAACAGACCTACCTAGAACAGACCTACCTAGAACAGACCTACCTAGAACAGACCTACCCAGAACAGACCGACATAGAACAGACCTACCCAGAACAGACCTACCCAGAACAGACCTACTTAGAACAGACCTACCCAGAACAGACCTACACAGAACAGACCTACACAGAACAGACCTACCCAGAACAGACCTACACAGAACAGACCTACACAGAACAGACCTACACAGAACAGACCTACCTAGAACAGACCTACCTAGAACAGACCTACCTAGAACAGACCTACATAGAACAGACCTACCCAGAACAGACCTACTTAGAACAGACCTACCCAGAACAGACCTACCCAGAACAGACCTACACAGAACAGACCTACCCAGAACAGACCTACCTAGAACAGACCTACACAGAACAGACCTACACAGAACAGACCTACCAAGAACAGACCTACATAGAACAGACCTACACAGAACAGACCTACATAGAATAGACCTACCTAGAACAGACCTACCCAGAACAGACCTACCCAGAACAAACCTACTCAGAACAGACCTACTTAGAACAGACCTACCCAGAACAGACCTACCCAGAACAGACCTACACAGAACAGACCTACCCAGAACAGACCTACCTAGAACAGACCTACACAGAACAGACCTACACAGAACAGACCTACCAAGAACAGACCTACATAGAACAGACCTACACAGAACAGACCTACATAGAATAGACCTACCTAGAACAGACCTACCCAGAACAGACCTACCCAGAACAAACCTACTCAGAACAGACCTACCTAGAACAGACCTACCTAGAACAAACCTACCTAGAACAGACCTACATAGAACAGACCTACCCAGAACAGACCTACATAGAACAGACCTACCCAGAACAGACCTACATAGAACAGACCTACCCAGAACAGACCTACCTAGAACAAACCTACCTAGAACAGACCTACCTAGAACAAACCTACACAGAACAAACCTACCTAGAACAGACCTACATAGAACAAACCTACCTAGAACAGACCTATCTAAAACAGAAGAATATATAGAAAAGGCTATGGTCGTAGGGTCCCCAATTATGGCCATTTTTATAAGCATGAAGTCGGTATCTGAGATTAGTTGGTTCTGAATCTACCTCGGAAAATTGAAGTGAAACAGTCAGTTAGCAGTCTTGAAGAAGGAATGAAGAAAATAAAATTTACACATGTTTACAACATTTAATTTTTAAAAACGTTCATTCTTCCCGACACTCTCACGGAAGCTTCGACTGAATTTTCTTTAGAAACGTTAATGATCAGTGGATAGAGCTCGGGAGAACTGAGGACGGAAATATCGCCTGTTCTTGCCCAAAAAAGCTTTAATAATGTTTACTCATCCCCTTGTCTAAATCTCCCTTCACTTGGCAAATCATCTCTAAACAACAAGGCCGCTTTCAAAGACTTAGCCTCCTGACATAAATTAGCGATCAGTGCCAGACATCCTATACCAGAGCAGGTGGGCACGCGAGCGGTCATGTCCGTGCGTCCACCAGGACAGGTGGCGCGTGCTAAGGGGCAGGATGTCCAAAGGTCGTTGTCTTGGTGATTATTTCGGACGAGGTGGAACAATTATACTTTGGGCACAGAAGAAAAGGCTGTCAAAGGATGATTCACAAAGGGATGGAGAGTGTGGCGGCATTTTGTCACTGACCCCCAGGGTGAGGCGTGGCGGTCTTGGTACTACGAGTGGTCATTGTGGGCTCTGCTGCAGATGGCGTTTCTCTCATGGCTTCTTTGTTGTGGATGTCGACGGCTAGTGTACGGAGTCTGTGACAGGCCAGCCATTTGCCTCTGTTGGTGACTATAAACAGACAGAACAATGGTCACAGGAACACATGGCGGTCTCTGTGTTCTCAATCCTATCAGCTTCTTTCCCGTATCCAGACCCCCATACATCTCTCCATATGCCCCCCCCCCTCCAACCAAACCCTAATACACCCCTCCCTGTTGTCACTCACTTCCTTCAAATGATTTCTACCTCCTCATCCACGCAGGACTTGTTATCTTGTTGTTGTTGTGGTCGTCGTTGTCTTCTTCTTCTTCTTATTTTTCTTCTTTTTCTTCTTCTTCTTTTTCTTCTTTCTCTTCTTCTTCTTCTTCTTCTTCTTCTTCTTCTTCTTCTTCTTCTTCTTCTTCTTCTTCTTCTTCTTCTTCTTTTTCTTCTTCTCATCCTTCACCTTTTCTTCCTTGTCCTTAACTTCTGCGATTTCTTCATTTTCATCTGCGTTCGCCATTAAAAGGGTGATTGACACATTCCGATATGGTCTCTACAGTTAGGCTGTGATATCTGCACCTTTCGACCAAACACTTCAGAATTCAGCAAAACCCGAAATAAACGTTTCTAGGACAGGCTTGTTGGCAGTGGATCTATTCTCCGCATCCCCCCCCCGCCTCCCCCCCCCCCCAACCTCTCCTTCCCCTCTCTCTTGAAAATGTAAAATTGTGCTCGGCTAATCTTCTATACCCGAAACAAATAAATTGAATCCAAAAACATTTTTGCAACACAAATTCACAAGATGACTCATTCCTAAGCCAAGCAATTCACAATATTCGGTGTAAGAACTATCCTATATTACTTATGATATACCACACAAAACGTGAAAAAAAAAAAAAACGTCCAGTTATGACACAACATATCCGAATACCTTGGCTCTCAGATCGACGCTAACTAAAACGGGCAATAAGAAACAACATGGGACGTAAAAGCTGCCGGTGTGATGTTGACCAGGACACCCACTGAATGCCGGATGCCGAAAACTCGGCGCCAAAGATTTGTTTGTGTGTTCGTGGACTGGGGCGTTGTTAGCGGTTCGAGTGAAATGTATTCACAAATTGTGTTCGTGTGACCATTCGTTCGTAATTAGAGGCGTTTATGACAACGTTTACAGTGCTGGATTCGGGCAAAATATAAATAAAGTACAGAATTGAGTCTCCAATTCTGTAGTGACCTAAAACTAAATTCATATTTCAAGAAAAAAAAATTGTTCAAAGTTGTAATTTTCAGTCTTTTAGAGAACTATATAATGTGTTTTCTGGCATTCTTCACACATTCTTTATTTTTTCCTTCAAATTAAAGTTAACGACAGTATATTTAGACACTGACTTTGCTGACGACAAAGTGCTTTAGAGTTCAGCACACCCACATATCCGAGAGAAAACAAACCATCTCCAAAATGTTTCAGGACAAATCGGACTCATATTAACACAGCTTAAACAAAAATGATCGATCTTACCAACAGTTCAGACGCTATCAAACTAAGCAATCACATTCTTAAACAAGTCAACAGCTCTACATACCTAGGAAGTAAGATGCCTTCTAGAGGGGATGCAGCGTCAGAAATATAATCTAGAATCGAACTAGCATCTAGTGCCTTTAACAAACTGTCCACAAATTTGAAGACAAAGACAGCCAGCAGTCGCACAAAACGATAGATTTCAGATCCAATAAACAAATAAGACAAGAGACCAAGCAAGACAATGTATTCAAGTGTATAAGATAGCACCGCTGGAACTACATCGACATGCACTCAGAATGGATAAGACAAGAAAAACTGTCCCATCAAGCCCTCAGGTGGACACGGAAGGGAAAAGAAAACGGGAAGACCAAGAGAGACTCTACCATGGGCCTAACCACGGCCGGCTCTAGCAGAGAAACATCTTCAGGAGGTCGTGGCCTAACAAAGATCAAAGACGTAAAACAGGTAGCGACGAACCACCAGACATGAACAGCTATGACCTCTGCCCTATGAACCGCCCTAGGCCGAAGAGGAAAGACTAATATATTTGTATGATCCATATATCTAAATGGTGTATATATTTTAACGTTTTCTGAGTTTAGCTGGTGTGATTTAAACAGTTGTAGTTCAGTATAATATTGTCTGTCCAAAAGCCCAGTGAAGATCAAAATCTGTTCTTGAATTTAAAGAAAACAAAGATAATGCCTACAGATAAAACTGGCTGTCACCCTAAAATAACAATACATGATGAAGAAATTTAAAATGTCACAAACTTTGAATATCTAGGCTCTATAATAAACAGCAATGGAGACTTTAACAGAAATTAAAAGGACAATGGCCGTAGCAATACAAAGATTAAACAGCATTAAAAGTGAATGGTTAAGCACCAGCAAGGAGATCAAAATTAGAATTGTGAGAGCATGCATCTTCCCTGTGGCTACATACGGATGTGAGTCGTGGACTATCTCTCAGTCCTTAAGAAAGAGAATAGGGGCTTTTGAGCTGAAATGCTGTAGAAAGATTCTCAGACTATCTTGGACAAAAAAGACGAGAAATATTGACATCTTAAAAAATATGAACAGCAAGGAAGATTGTCTAATAAACAGCATCCTGTCTCGGAAGCTGAAATATTTCGGTCATATCAAGCGCCACGACGGATTGGAAAAAATAGCAGAAGGCATGGTACCAGGAAGGAGGGGCAGGTGCCGACCGAGACAAAGATGGGCACAGGATATAAGTGACTCCTTGAGTATGAAAGTACAGTGGCAAACCAGTTTTATCTGTGGACATAATTTTCGTTTTCTTTAAATTCAGGAACATATTTTGATCTTCACTGCTTTTGGGCAGGCAGTATTAAATTTTCTATTCCCTTTATGCTGTTCGACAGGAGGACTGTGTCATCTGCGTATCGAAGTTTCGGAAAAGGGTTGCCACTAATTTTGGGCGGATCATAACTGTCAAAATTGTGGTCATTTTTAACATTTCTCCTTATATTTTCTGTGTATATATTGAATATGTATGGTGAGAGAATGCACCCCTGCCTCACTCTCTTTTGCACTTCGAACTGCTCGTTGATGAAAGAAATAAGACAACTACAGGTACAACGGCTTAATTAAACAATTCGTAACGACGGAGGTGTTAGTAGATGAAAGAAATAAGACAACTACAGGTACAACGGGTACAATGGCTTAATTAAACAATTCGTAACGACGGAAGTGTTAGTAGATGAAAGAAATAAGGCAACTACAGGTACAACGGGTACAACGGCTTAATTACACAATTCGTAACGACGGAGGTGTTAATAGATGAATGAAATAAGACAACTACAGGTACAACGGCCTAATTAAACAATTCCTCACGACGGAAGTGTTAGTAGATGAAAGAAATAAGGCAACTACAGGTACAACGGGTACAAGGGCTTAATTAAACAATTCGTAACGATGGAAGTGTTAATAGATGAAAGAAATAAGGCAACTACAGGTACAACAGCTATAACATCTTCTTAAGCGTTTACCGTCAGAACTTGAGTTTTATAGATCTAACATATTTATTATGTGCAGACTGTTCGTTCCACCTCTCTCATGCAGATGCACTCCGACTTTAAAGGAAACAACCCTAATTAGTCAATTTTTACGACATTCTTGCAGTGAATGTAGTTTTTTTTTCCTCTCTCAAATATGAGGCTCAGAAACTCACACAGGAAGGACG